TGTTGTTGTTGTTGTGGTCGTGGTTGTTGTGGTAGTTGTTGTTTTTGTTGTTGTTTTTGTTATTGTTGTGGTTGTTATGGTTGAGTGTTGTGGTTGTTGTGGCTGTTATTGTTGTTGTTTTTGTTATTGTTGTGGTTGTGGTTGCTGTGGTTGAGTGTTGTGTTTGTTTGGTTGTTGTGGCTGTTGTTGTTGCTGTTGTTTTTGTTATTGTTGTGGTTGTGGTTGTTATGGTTGAGTGTTGTGGTTGTTGGTTGCTGTTGCTGTTGTTTTTGTTGTTATTGTTATTGTTGTGGCTGTGGTTGCTGTGGTTGAGCGTTGTGGTTGTTTGTGGCTGTTGCTGTTGTTTTTGTTGTTATTGTTATTGTTGTGGTTGTGGTTGTTATGGTTGAGTGTTGTGGTTGTTGGTTGCTGTTGCTGTTGTTGTTGTTGTTTTTGTTATTGTTGTGGTTGTGGTTGCTGTGGTTGAGCGTTGTGGTTGTTTGTTGTTGTTGCTGTTGTTGTTGTTGTTTTTGTTATTGTTGTGGTTGTGGTTGTTATGGTTGAGCGTTGTGGTTGTTTGTGGCTGTTGGTGTTGTTTTTGTTGTTATTGTTATTGTTGTGGTTGTGGTTGTTATGGTTGAGTGTTGTGGTTGTTGGTTGTTGTTGTTACTGTTGTTATTATTGTTGTTGTTATCATTTTTGTTCTTTTTCGTTTCCGTCTTTTTCTTCTACGGTTGATTAATTTGTTAATTTGTTAATTTGTTGAAAAATATTAATTAAATACTCCTAACTATTACCCATTATAAATTTATATTGTTTTCGTTGAAATACCCCTTATTGTCTTTTTATGCCAATATACACCTATTTCGAAAATCGTCGTCGCACCAAGAGCCTCAAGTAACAGGCCAAGTCTCCAGAGAACGTCTGTGCTTTTAATTATAATTGATTTATTCATGGTTCATGCAAGTGGCTATATCTCTACGCTAATTATCATCTCAAGCAGCCTTGCTTGGAGCAATTTGTGAAGTCAATAAATGAAAATGCAGCATGAATAAACTAATTACAGCTAAAAGTACCGGCGTTCTCTGCGGTCTTGGCTTGTTGCTTGAGGCTTTTGGTGCGACAACGATTTCTGAAATAGGTGTAT